GATGAACCTCCTCGACAACGTCCAGCCCAACCCGACCAGGGTGCAATACGTCACCAAGGATCAGGTATGGCCGCCTCCATTCCCCCCCTCTTTCCCTTCCTTCCGCATCTTTGCTCCCCTTCGTTCCCCGCGCTCATTACTTCCCCATTTCTCCCTCTCTCCCTCCCTCTCTCCCTCCTTCCCTCCCTCTTCTCCCTCTACGCAGATTTGTATGGACTGGGGGGCCTTCAGCAACCCGAAATGCAAGGCCTGAGGCGTCATGTCGGAGCGATTTTGAGAGAGATGGGGAAAGTGATTTCGAAGGGGATGGACTTCCCTCCGAGTCGATGTACCAAGAGGGGGGAAAGGAGGGCGGATGCTGCCTGTGGGCAATTCAAAGGCAGGAGAAGGTGCTGATGGTGGGAAAACTCGGGCGAAGGAGGGGAACGAGGAAATGATGTAAGGGGAGATAGCACGAGTACAATTTGATAGCAGCGGGCAGAACACGCATAAATACTGTACGAGTAGCGTGGGAGAGGGGGTATGGCGGGGTCGGAAGGGGAAGGTGGAAGGAGAGGGGGAGGTAGGGAGGGAGGGAGCGGGAAGAGGATAAGAAAGGGTTTAGGTTGGATCCCTCACTCATGAGGGGATGAGTAAAGAGGCTCATGGGGGAAGCAACGCGGCGACCGGGGTCGATTGGAAGCGGGCAAGGGGCAGGCATAGGGACAGATGTCTGGGGGGAAAAATTGTATGTAGGCGCGTCAGGCAGGGGAAAAGGCTCTGGCTGTGGATGGTGGACGATGGGGACGGGATGGATGGGTTTATTGTGAAATCACGTACGTGTGGGGCGTCCAAGAGTGCGGCCTGGCCGGTGTGTGCTGAGATTACCGTGATCGTCCGAGCCCTGACTCTCTCTCACACATACATGGGCACTCGTAAGTTTCAGAAAATAGATGCTGTAAGTTTCTGGGGTGTTTCTTTGGTCGTAGCTGTTGCGTGTTCTAAGGGAGGGGGAAGGAAGGGAAGGGGGGGAGGCGGATGACAAAGACGTGTGTAATTTGTCTGATGAGGATTGCCTCCAAACCAGTATGCTGCGCGCGGCTGGGAAAAGGTATGTTCAAGGGGTGCAAGATATATGAAAATATATTTGAGGTTTATGGATGACATGGATGGATCCAAAGTTTCTTTGTGCTGGACCTCGATCTGTATTTCTGATGCGAGCTTTATTAATTTTGGTTTGGGGTCGCAAGGAGTGTCTCGGAGACTACCTCGACTTGCCTTGTCCTCTGCCGGTAAAATCCGCCATCTTAACTTCTCTTTCTTTCCACCCTCTCGATATCTCTCGTTCTTTCTCTTGCCGACCCGCCCCCTCTCATAGCGGAATGTTCTCCAAAGGCATTTTCAGAGAGAAAGGACAAAGATCCTGTCCACAAATACGGAGGACGGGCCTTCATTGCGTTTAGCTTGTATGTCTTGCCCTTGTATAATATTTTATTATTATTCAAATCCGATACCTGGAATCCAACGGCCAAGTCGCAGCGCTCGATGTTTTATCGCACATCCTCGACAGGAATTTTACCCTAACGACGCTAACGCTTACCACCCGATCAAAGGGGAGCCTAATGGCGTAGGCGCCTTCAGGCACGCTCCTTCCCACTGCTCACGCATGGACTTCGATCGTCAAAGCCCACAGAGCCGCTGCCCTCCCTTGATTTTCTTTCACCCCGCCACCCTTCCCAGGCGTTACATGATGGACTTCTTCGTCCATCCGTCCCAATGCCGTCTTATCAATCGATGGAGCTGTTTCTCTCCCTTCCTCTTGGCTATGGTCCTTCTCCCTTTTCACCTTCTTGTCTCGGTCTCCTCTTTCACTTGTAGTCCGTAACCACAATCTCTTGTTCCTCCCTCCACTTTCTTCACCTCCATCGTCCTCTTCACGATGACTATTGCCGTTTCGCGCCATCATGGATGTATTCTCCACCTTCTCCCCTCCAACAAAGCACTGGTCTCTTTTGCTCGCCCTCATTTTCTCCGGGGTCTTCCTCCCTTCGGATGGACCTCCTCCAGTGGCGCCAAAGCTTGATCTACGCTTGATTCCTCGCGTCAACATGCCTTCTCTGGGCTTATCTTTGCTGTCCTCCCAGTCTTCTTCCCTTTGATCCAAACGTCGTAGTTTCTCGATACTTTTTGTCATCAGCCACTCCTCCTCAACCCTCGTATCCCCAAACTTTCTTTTTCCCCTGTCACACGCCCGCCTTCTCTCCGTTGCCCTTGCTGCTTTATCTTCACGCTTTGCCTCTACCTCTTCCTCTCTGGTGCCTCTTTCCTCCGATTCCCTTCCAGTCACTTTTTCTTCTTCTTGAATCATGCTTTCGAAGGCCGGCACGATTTCCTTCTCTTCCTCTTGCATTTCTTCCTCCTTTCTTTCCATCCTCTTCCTTTCCAATCCCGTCTCCCCTTCCTTCATCTCCCCCTCCCTCATTTCTGTCTTTTCTTCCTCCACCTCTTGATTCCTAATCCTCTCCTCTTCCTTTTGGTCGACATCTTCAGCCTCGCCTCCTTCTGGGGAGAGGAAGAGGGGAGGCTCTCGGAGACTTAAAGCGATCCGCTGTCCTACGTGCTGGATGTGACCTGCCTTTAGACCATCATGCTGGCCATAGGTCTCATCCTGTTGGAGCCGTGACAAGGCCGTTAGCAAGCTAGGGCGGATAGAGTTGTTCTCATACTGTAGAAGAGGCCGCAATGTGGGTTGAGCAAGGACATGTATAGAAAGATGGGATGGAGGAGAATGAACGAGTGGAGAGCGTTCGTGTATGGTCCGGTAATCAGCAGCTCGGAGAGAGCATGCTGGATCCTATGAATCGAGTAGAAAAGAGGAAGGTTGAGGATCGATGGATTTGCCTACATGAATCAGAAGTGCGGGAAAAGATGAAGAATGAAACAAAATAAGAACATCATCCGACGAAAGGCTTGCATCCACTATCATAAAGGTGAAATTGTGCTCAAATTTGATAATGATGGATAACTGAGGATGAAGACCAATCACATGGACGTGCCAGCTCTGCAGACACATATTTATTGTTTAGATAACCTTCATCATGCTTCTCATATGTACCACTTACCTGGCTACTATATCCGTGTACATTCCAGGGCGGACTTTTCGACGCGTCACGTCTCAGACCAGATGCGTGGAAACGTGGAGGTTCGATCACATTTGCAGAACGGATATGATAGCTAAATTCGTGGCAAGTTTCTAGGCGTATGTTTTGCAGAGATTTCTGCTCTTGGTGACGCCATCGTCTTTTCTTTGGTACGCACTTCTGTGTAAAAATGGCTCCCGACAATGTACTATCCATGTTTGAAATTAACTGTGGAACATCCCAGAAAAAGAGACCTAATTATTTTTCTGTGACATATGGGACACTTTATAAGCTGAAGGGGGGAATGCGACAAAGAATCTGGACCCGTGGAACATACGTTCACGAAAAGTGTGCGCTGATTATGCAATGTTATGAACATTGCGGACATTCATAAAAGACCGATATAGAGGTGCCACAGGATTACTCGAGCGCAAAGGGGCAATCATGCGCCACAAATCACCTTATTTGCCCAAATTGGCAGGTACGACTTTTGGATGATGTCTTGCACCGGCTGCTCGGCCTGTTCTTCTCTCGCGAAAATCTTTCAAAAATTCAAACAAGAAACGTCAAGAGACGGACTTTAGATACACTTCCGCTGTGATTTTAGCCATCGGTACGGTGCGAGGTGGTGAAAGACAGTATGTATAGCACCGCAATGATTATTATGATCTACAACTTTTTCGATGCATTGAAGAGAAAAGATGTATGACAAATCAAGACACAGAATGGAGATAAAGCGTAACAAGTAGCCGTAGCAAGTGATGTTCCTCTGCAGAACATTTACAAATCTCTTTGTGTAATGGATATGATTGCCTGAAAACAGTTTTGTGTTTCATCTAAGCATACGGAAGTGCTCCTATGTGCCTCACAATAACGAAAAACGCTGATTCGCGAGATACAGGTGTGTTGGAGGACGTTGACAGCATACCTCAAATTTGCGTGAAAATGGCTAAGATTTCTTTCTCAGCAAATTTCTTCCATTTGCTACGGAAGACAAAAATACTTCAATTTTTCCAACTGGGGAAATCAAACCGAAAGCTCGACTGTCCGGATATGAAGATTTTTGTAGACATTTCCAGAAGCTCTCCATTATGAACGAGAGAGCTCCTTGAGTCTAAGAGTGGTATTCGCGTGCAGAGATTTTTAAATGTCCTCCAAAATCATGATTTGTAAACAAATAGCTTTGCGCAAAATGCGATCACGACTCCTATGAAGAGTTGTTCGTGATGCGCACAGTTTCCTGCATACCTTTTGTGCTGCAGCCTCGATTTTTTATTTCTTGAAACTTACTACACATTCACTTCCATCCTAGTCATGGCTACCCTTCTCTCTCTCCCTCCCTCCCATTCTCCCTCCCCTCGCCTTTCTCCAACCCCTCGTCGGATCAACCACCCCACAAGTGCTTTCCCTCGCACAGTCTGCAGCCAACCGTTGCATTTAACTGCAGTTGCCGTCGTCAAGCCCGCCTGGAGAAGCATCCAGGAGAGGGAAAGACCATCATCCTCCTGTGACAAAGGGAAGAGTAAAATAGATAATGGGTTTTTAAGAAAGCGCGCAACATTTTTCATGAGGTCGCCATGGTTTTAAGGCCTCATGACGCAGGAAACAGCACTTTCATCGTCTGGCCCCCTCACCACCAGCCAGGCGCTGCAATCAGCAAAGGGAGCGCACACAAAGCCTCCGGAGCTGATCAATACCGTCCCCGCCTCTGTCGATATTTTGCCTCTTTTCACTCACTCCCTCATTCCCCCCTCCCCTCCTACCGTTGTAGCATGGCTCTTTCGCAGTAACGAGTAGAAAAGGAGGGCGGGAGCGAGACGCTGACGCAGGAGGAGGACGATCGCCCCCGTTACGACGCTCGTCTGACAGGAAGCAAAGAGAACGAGTATGCGGGTAATAAAGGTTGGGGGGGGGGGAGAGACAGGGATAGAGGGAGTGACGGCGGCGTTGGTACTGATGGGCGCGTAGATGTAGCTGCGTGGCGGGGAGGATGGAAAGAAGGACGTGGGGGAGGGGGAGGAGGCAGAGGCACCGAGGACGGCAATGCCACAGACCAGGCCCTGGGAGGAACAGGCATATGGCGAGAAGGGATGGGGGGGTGAGGAACGACAGGGACGACGAAAGCAGATAGGGTCAAAGACTAGGAATCAGCAGGTGGTATCATGGGCTTTGCGCCACCCCGTTCCCTCCTTTCCCCTTGCCCTTCTTCCTTTTCTTCATCATGAGCCCCCTCCCTTCATCGCTCCCTCCCCTCCTCCCTCCTCCTCCCTCAGCGCTCACCACGACGACGTCCATGCCCATCAACCCTCTCGAGTACCGGCCAGACCCTGTGCCCAAGCCGCGAAAGAGCAAGCGCTTCATGACGAAGCCGGCTAGGGCGCCGAAGAGGGAGCCGAGAAGGTATTGACCCAAGAGGCAGACGCCGTCCCCGCCCGCTCTTGCCTGGCTTCGCGCGTGGCCTGGTGGTATGAAGGCGAAGAGAAAGTGGGACGGATGTGTACCGGCGCCATGCGTCACCAAAAAGCAGCCAGCAGAGCGCCAGATCTGATTTTACACCCAAGACAATGCCATGCTCCTATTTTCCTCTTTCCTTCTTCAACCATGTCCTTGGCCTTTCCTTTCACCTAATCGTCCCTGACGGCCTTTTCCGCCCCCCTCGACAAGTTCTATCGGCTTAAGCAAAAGATGCGACCCTACGCACCCTCTCCCTCTTCCTCGCCTTCATCTTCCCACTCATCTCCATCCATGGCTGTCATTTCCTGCTTGAGTTCTTTCTCTTCTTCCGCTGCACCTTGTTTAAGCACTGCCTGGGCAGGCATGATGATCTCAATTGTAAGCGTGGCAACCCCTTTGATGGGAAGGAAAGGTGAGTTAGTCTTCGAGAGCTTGGAAACCCTTCTTTTCAAATTTGTTGTGATGTGTAGGCATTTACGATCAAAACTGGCTATGAAGAACAACCCTGCGTACGCCGCACGTTTCCATCCTAAAGTTTGTCGGTGATGGAATCATATACCCTCAGTAATGCCTTTGCATTCGGGGATGCACGGGTCGGCTCTCCTTACACGGTCTCACACGCTACCAAAACTAGCTTCACATAAAAATATACCAGTGGAGTGGTGCATAATAGGCGCGATGGAGGTCTAGTTTCCGTCTGATCGGAAAAAAAGGTATTTTTCTTTCATTGAAGCTCTCGCTGCTGCTCGCTTTTTGTTCCGTCACCTTGACTTCTCGACTTACTATACCAGTACGCTCTCAAATTCATTTCTAACGGAAGCAAACCAATAGAAGTACAAGCCTGTCTGTTTCTCGTTATAAGTCGGGTATCAGACACCTCTTTACTTCTTCCACTTTCCTTACTCGTGCGCTTTGTCCAATGCTCGAATGGCACTAGGATGCTTTCGCCGTAAGATGGATGACCCGCCGCAGCAACAGCGACTAGTACAACACCAACAACAACGAAAGCAACAAGGGCGAGGGCAGCAAAAGCACCAGGATAACTCGGTGCAGCAAAGACCGCTATGGAGGCACACTCATGTAAAAATGAGAAAGGAAAAGTGCGCTCGGCGGGCTGAGCTAATCAGGCGCTGCATGGATTTGCAAGCAGCCATCAAGGTCCGTTACGTGCAGAAAAACAGGGGGAAATGTAGTCAAGAAGATAACGATGCCAGATGATACGAGTGTAGACCCTCCAAGTGGTTGACTGCTGCCTTTTAACTGCATCTTTCCTTCTTTTTGTCCCTCTCCAACACCCCCCCTCAGAAGCTGCGGCCGGAGACTCTAGAAGAATTTCAAGTTCTGGAGAATTACTTGGATCTATGGGCCTCCCTCCTCCTTTCCCCTTCCCTTTCTGTCTCCAACGCCCCTGTCACTGCTCGTAGTTTCTCGATACTTTTTGTCATCAGCCACTCCTCCTCAACCCTCGTATCCC